TATATATTTCTCATCGTAACTTAATATATTAATTATTTTTTTCATTATGCAGCCCTATTTGGAATTGAATTTAATATTCTCCGTCATTATAATCATATACTTTTTTTTGGCATTATTTGTGCTTTTTTGAACTACATTATATTTGCTTGGTTTTTCGATTTGAATTTAATTGGATGGCTTTGCTTATTTGGTATATATAATCCATTCCTCAAAATTTTTTAATTCAAATACAGCATTAATTATTTTATATTTCTGTATTTACAGCCTTATTAGGAGTTGAAAATCATACTTATCATTTGGCAAAATTGGGATATCGTGTTATTATAAACTATTCATTCTTTTTGTTTACTTTTTTTGCCTTATTTATTTGAATTAATTAATTCAAAAATTGAAATATGGGTGACCCGGTAGTTGTTTTCAGCCCAAATTAAGTTTAATTTAAAATCAAAATTCGTTAAACAATAAGTAAATTGTAACTTCTTCCTTGGCATTAAATTTTATTTCAATAAATTTTCTATACTTCATTTTTAAATAGTACTTATGGCTGTGAAACACTTGTACTGTTAGGTTGAAATGACCCTATAGTTGTTAGATGAGACCATGTGATGATAATAATCACCTGTCATAAAATACCAAAACCTAAAATTTTAATCTAAGTTTTGATAAATAACTATATAATAATATAAAATTATTTCATTTGGTGGTTAGGTCACGAAACTCTATATTTCATTCCAATAAGAATAAATTTAACCCAAGTTAAGTGTAATGTGGACAAAAACTATCAGGATCAGCAAATGGATTGCATCTCTACATAAGATGAATCTATTTTTGAATACTAGTCTTCGCTAACAAATTTAATAATTTTGCCGATCTATTCATAAATCTGTTTTTATTACAATATTTTTTATAGATTTGATTAATTAGTATATCAGAAGCCCCATTTAGATATCGATATATTTATTTAAAGTTTAATTTACCATATTTATGAAATTTTAGGTGCATCGTTCATTTGACTATCAACTACCCTAGTAGTAAAATTACTTGTTAGAAAAAAAAGTTATAGTATTAAATTTTCATTTACATAAATAAATTTATTATAAAATTCATTTTTTAGATAATTATTGGTGGTTGTGAAAGTTTAATGATTTATTGATTTTTAAATCATATAATTACAATGAAATAAATTTTAATAATTTTTGATTAGTAAATTTTTATGTTATCGTTGATAACAATTGATACGTGTTTGTGGGTATAACTGGCTGGTTAAATTTTATTATACAAACTAACTAGTTAAATGGTGTTTGTTAGTTCTATTGCTTTTTATATGATACTTTTTTCAGTAAAAAATAAAGTTTTTTTCTTTTTTTATAGTAAATGTAGGATGTATAATAAGGTTTATTAATTTTAGATAGTAAAATATTATAAACTTTGTGAATAAATAATTTTTCTGACTTTTTATTTTTCATTATTTTTGGCTTCTTTTATATTTTGATGGGTATAAAAAGTCAATTTAAAAAAATATATAAAAATTATACTTAACTAGTTAAAAATTAGCACTTTATTTTTTAAGATGTGTAAATTTTATAAAAAAATTGAAGTAACACAACCAGACTTGAAGGGAGTCGATGAATGATTTTTTAAGAATAGTCTTGAGGAACTATAAGTATATTTATTTTGAATCATAATATAATCTTTGTACTAATAAATTTTATTTAGATTAAAATTAATTAATAAGTGCTAAAAACAAAATCTAAAAGAAATTAATGAAGCAACTTGGCAGCAGATGTTATCTCAGATAGATGCCGTAGTTGTAGACTTTGCCCAACTAATTTCACAGAAGTAATCAATCCACTTCTTTAAGTGATAAATTTGGTCTTCCTTATAATATATTATATTATTTTGTGTCTAGCACATCCAATTCGCTCTCACATCTTCTTGAAGCAGATGAATCGCGAAAACCAGATTATACTGTTTTTTGTATCTCAAAAGATAATCCTTCTCTTGAATTCGCAGCATTATTCTCAGAAGGTGCAAAGCCAGTAAAGAAAGATGAATTAAAATATCAATTAGATAAAGAACGGCTTCAGTCAATAACAAAGTTGTATTTTGATTACATTTTGGTTCACATTCTATCATTATACAGGAAATTTTTAACAAGAGAAATTTCAAAAGAAATATTAGCTATTTCTCTTATTACAATGCAGGCAACTGTTGAAACTATCAAATATCCAAGAAACAAAAATGAAACAATTTTAACTCAAGAAGTTATCAAAGCTGCCAAGATCGTGAAATTTTTAGTTACAGTATTAATTTACTATGCAAAAGTGCTTTTTTATTATTGTAAAGAGCAATTATTACTATTCTCCATGAGCTTATTTTAGCGACAATCTAAGAAATGATAATAACAGATAAAGTAAACAAAAACATCTTTATAATTTTTTTGGTTCAAAATCTAATAAATCTTTTATTACTGTAAGTGACAAACTCGCATTATTAACATCAAGACAAAGTAGACTTTATTATCAAAAGCTTAAAATGTTGTTAAATGTAAAGAAAACCAAACCGCAAAAAGTGAATATCAAGTATTATTTGCCAGTAGTGTAAAATTTAAAAAAACTAATGGTGGTACTTATAATTGCAACTAATTGCCCCACCAACCTTAAATTCAAGAAAAAGGTTCTGTCATCGGCAAAGACAGCAGATAAAATTGTGATGTTACTGTTAAAAAAAATCAATCCTAAAAATAAAACTACGCAAATAATAATAAAAGTAAAAACAATGTATTTCAATTTCTTCGAGTTTTGAGAGTCTTAAGGATTATTATTATTGATGATAACTGTTGCATTATTCACATTCACTTCTTCATTTTGTTCATTTCGTGTAACACAATTTTCATCGCCAATACTTTGAAAACATTGATTCTTTAAAAGACTACAAACAAGACAGTTACAATTTTTAAACTCTTGTAAGGGCTGGACAGTTACATTTGAGGCATTTGAGGTTTGAGATACGAATGATGGTTGTCTTTGGAGGTTATTAATTTGAATGTTGGCTTGCACAGGAGTCAATGGGGGTTGAATCTGATAATTTCTAATGGTGGCTTGATGGTGTTGAATCTGCGGATTAGGCTCAGCTGGGATATAATTTTCATTACTAACATTGTTAATCTCAGTAATTTGTGGAAGTTGAACTGGTCCGTTAATACAAGGGTGCTGAGGAAATTGTTCGGGTCTGTAAACACGAGAGTGCCGAGGTCTATTAAAAATAAGTGGTTGAACATGTCCATTCATATTTTGAGGTTGCTGAATAGGTCCATAATGAGAAAGTTGATGAATAGATTCGATATGGTTAGGACCAACGAAAGGAGGTTGTTGAATAAATTGGTTAGTGCATTCAAATCCATTAATTTGAGAATTTTGTTCATCGTGAACTGAGGTTGTTATTCTTTCAAGTCTTGCGTACATGCAAAAACCATTACATTCAACACACTCTTCAGGATATCTTCTTGACATATTTTTTTTTACAAGAATTAACTTGCAACCTTGAATTTTGAGGCTTCTTTTATAAAATTTTTGATAATTACTTCCACAGTTTCTTTATAAAATTAATGTTCTTTTTTTTATCTCCTGAGCTGCACAGGTCAAACCACGAGCAAAGATTTTCATCAAATGTCATGTTTGAACTGTCTTGGTCAGTCAATAAACTTACCAGTTTTAGTAAAATAAAATATCTTTACGCGTGTTTAATAATCTTTTTGAACAACTACAAGGATCAATCATTAAATTTGGTGTAGGTAGCATAAACTTAGATATTGCACGAACTTCAAAAGAGGACAAACTGTCATGATGTTTCAGTTAATAGACTTGCTAGTTTTAATAAAATTACATGTGTGATAAACTTTTCAGGGTTAGAATCGCATGTTTTAATAAAAATATCACTATTATAAAGCGTTTAATCACAATAATATCTTATCTAAAACTGAATCATGTAATGTTATACTTTAGATCTGTATTGATCTAACAGTCTTTACTGGTGTGGAAAATCGTGTGAAATTCTTTTGTTTGCATGATGCTCTAAAAAAAGATCGAAAATTCGAACTGTCTGTAGGGGTCATGACAATTGACTAAGAGATTATCTATTTTGAATAATACACTAATTTAATGCTATGTAATATAATTGAAAATGATAAATTTATAGTGTTGATAAATTTTCAATATAAACATATAATTGAATATAAAAAAGTACTCTAATTAAGTTCAATACGTGTTTTAATATAAAAATATTTAAATTAACGCATTAAGATAATTGCATATTATTATAATTTGCTAGTTACTTTAGTATATATCGAACAGGAGTATAAATATTGCTTTTTTCTTTTGTTCGAATAAAAAATAGTTTACTCGAACAAAAATACCTGCAAAATATGACACTTGACATGTTTTATGTTCAAAGAATAGCTAGAAGTGGAAATAGATATTATGTGTGTAAAATATGTGGTTTTACTTTGTCGAAGACATTAAGAGGGTCAGTCTAGATTTGTAAGATAAACTTTTCTTTGTATTTCGGTGTCTAATCACAATCATCTACTGCCAAGACCAGTAACAAAACTTCTTTAATTCATTTAGTGTCGCGTGTTATTTTACTTCAAAGGTAATGCAAATAGTTTTAAAGTTCAATTCAATTGAAGAAATTACATGATTTTCATACAATTTACTTTAACAATATATTTAGCAATTTTTGAAAACCGGATTACATGCATGAGATAATATATTTCGAATTATATTTCGATATAAACTAAGTCACTATAATTAAAAAACCTGTTTTAATTGTATTTCCGGCAGTAAAAAAAATTATTATAGTTAAGCCAAATAAAGTTGCAAATCTTATAAATATTGATTATTTTAATTAGAGATAATATAAATAACTATGGGTTTTACTTTAAACCGTTGAATATTCATAAATATTATCGCAGTTATATATTATTTTACGATTCGTATCTCTATATACAGTGCATAGTTTAATTCTTCTTTAAATATTCACGATTGTTTTTCTTGAGAATTCAAGAATTTTGGTCCTGAAAAATGTCTCCTCCTCGAAGAACTAGAAAAGTTTATGGTGTTGAAAAAACTCCAGGTCATCGATTCAAATGTCCAAGTTCCGGATGTCACTGTTCGTTCGTAAAGTATGAAAGGCTAGAGAAACACCTACAAGACATCCATCTTACAACAATACAAGGAATAAGGCATAATCAAAACGCGAGACAAATTCAACGCGATTATGATAGCATTGCCTTCTCTTTCAAAAATAATATGTGTAAACAACTTGATGAAATTTATGAAAAGCTAGAGATTGCCGAAAATAAATACCTACCATTAACCGAATACGAGTATCCTCAGATTGGTGAATTCAGGCAATGTCGTAATAGTATTACCTTATTAAAAGTGGAGATCAGTAGATTTAATGAGAAGCAAATTCGCCTTATCAATAGCATTTTGGTTAATAAAGTTGCCGCGGGTACGTATTATTAACTGTGTTTCATAACAAAATTACTATAGTGTTCTAACATCGCTTTTCACACGTGATCATGTACAATGCACGCTTTTTGGTGAGTACCCTTAATAACAATACGATTCTATCATTGTTTATTAACTTTTGTTATCTTGTTTGTTCCTTGTAGAAGAAAAGGAAAAAGTAGCAACACTTGTTAAAAAGTAAGTTTATTTTAAACAAAATAGTTCTGTTATAAATAACTACTGTAAAGTTTAGATTCTATTTAAATATTAGACTTCGTGAGGAAATTAAATTACTTATGAACGAGCTTAATAAAAAAAATAAAAAGATAAAGGAGTTGGAGGAAAAATATATAGCTTTAAATGCGAAATATCACGCTCTTAAAAAGGATCACGATACTGGCGATGGTCATTACATGGAAAGCCGACGTTTACTTGAAAGATAAAATGCTGTATTAATGCGCCGTGTAAGTTTTTTTTGCTTAATATGATACGCATTGAATACATTCACTGTATTTTAATATTTTTTTATAGAATTTAGAATTTTTTGAAGAGGCCGAAGCAACTAATAGAAGAAATCGCGAGCTAGAAAATAATCTACATTTATTAGAGCAACAGGTAAAATTTTTTTACAGTAATAGATATCATTATACTGTATATACTTACGATATCTATTGTATATAGAATGTAGAATTATCTAAAGAAATCGAAGAATTAACAAACAAAAAAGCGACACTTTCTGAAGTTGTCTATATTATAGATTAATTGTTTGAAATGATCTTTTTTAGACTGACTACATTTGAGATGTTCTTTGATTTGACTGACTAAAATTACACGTGAGATAATAAAGTGATAACTGGTGGATCGGGATTAGTCAGATGATTATTTATTTTGTATTGTTGCCGATCATTGATTATCTCTTTCTTCTCCAAATATCTGGTAAAATAGCATTAATATTTATGTTTTAAATTACGGGTGTCTTTACACATATTAATTTATTATCTGTATTATTATTTGATTATTTATGAAGAATCTTGCCATACGGATTTTCAAAGTGACTGCCAACCATTTTACGACTGCAACGAAATTACCGCTCAAAACAAACACCGTATCAGGAAGAAAAGAAATTGCAGGTGTCTCCAGGGAAGTATAATTTCATTTATGTTTTTGTGAATTTTTTTGTTATTTTATTCATTCAGATATTCACTCCTGTGTTCTTTTGACTCTTAGTTCATACCCCGGCCTAAACCGAGCAGTCACTGTGACGAAAGTCGTTTTTGGCTTCCCGAGTGGTTTGCAATGAAGGGGTCGGGTAGAACTTCATGGAACGGGCCAGGCGGAGTTTCCAGGAACCTAATTTAATTTTATGTTTCTGAAATAGTATCTCGTTTCTGGCGACAGTGATGCATCCCTGGTGTCAATATATTAGATACTACACAAACCTCTATGATGATACTGTGCAAGTGAAAAATATTAAGTCTAAGAGGTTTAGCAAAAAAGTTTCGTACATTCGTGGAATCATGCCAAGATGAATTAATATACGTATCGATACCAATTATTTTGTTTATGTATTGCAGTTAATAATTTTGCCATGACTTAATTGTTGAGTCAATTTATTATAAACAAATATAAAAAGTAGTCTAATTTAAGTTCAATACGCGTTCTATTCTTTTTATTTGAATTTTACAATAATATTTATGCGTAACATAAATATAACATGACTTTACTATAAAAGTACAGAAGGACAGAAACATAGTATAAAAAATCATAAATTTCCATTGTTATGTATTTTGCCAATTTTTGTTTTAGCGTTAGTTAATAGAGGATAAAATATTAGCTGCTTATTTTAAAAATGCAAGAAACAAATATTTCATCGCCAAATTATAGAAAATGATTATCATTTACTAATGTAATACAAATGACGTAATTCGTGATCTTGATCAAGTTTATTAGTTTAGGATATATATCAATAGAACAATAACTTTATTTTCAGAAGACAAATTTAAAATGAAGTTCAGCATCATCCTTACTCAACATCAAT